AAATACCGACTTTTATTTAACTGACTTTTTGGGAAAGGGCCCTATAAATTGATGCCAATTATTTCATTTGGAAATTCGGATTTAATGCTATTTAGAAACCCGGCCGTCCACGAGAATCTTGCCTTTTTCCTTTTTAATTTTAACAATGGTTCAGCAATAGCTGCAAAATCTTTTATAAAGGACCTATAATATGAACAAAGTCCTAGAAAAGAAGAGAGCTTCTTCGCCGTATTTGGCGGCGGATACTTTTGCACAGCGATTATTTTTGATTCGTCCGTCTCGATTCCTTTCTGAGATATTTCGTAACCTAAGTATTTTAATTCAGGGGCTGCAAATTTGCACTTTTCGAACATTAACTTTTAGACTGACCCGCCTCATTTAATAATGAAAACACCTTGTCTTAAATCCTGTACATGTTGGTCCAGATTATCACTAGTAATAATGATATCGTCTAAATAGATAAATGTGGTCTTTCCAAGAACAGGCCTTAGCACAATGTCCATACATCGCTGAAATGTTGCCGGTGCCCCTGAAAGGCCAAACGGCATACGCAAGAATGCATAAGTGCCAGACTTGGTTATAAAAGCAGTCTTAGGCACATCTTCCGGTTTAACCCCTATTTGAAAATAACCAGTCGTTAAGTCTAACGTAGTCATATATTTGATAATAGATCGATAATAATCGTTTCTTCGATAATAGGTAACGGATATATCGGATATTTAGTCATGGAGTTTAATTTACGATAGTCAATTGCAAAACGCCACCTTTTCGGATGTGTTTACTGGATAGTCATTATTTTTCTTACATAACACAACCGGGCTAGCATAACTACTTGAGATGGGCGTTATGGATCTTTTTACGTAACATATCTCGAATGTGCCACTCTATAATTTTTTCTTTATTTCTTATCATATCGATATGGTTTGTGGCGAACTGGCAGTGAATCTCCTGTGTCGATACTATGGTTAGTAACTTGAGTAAATCCGGGAATATCACTAAATAACGAAGCAAATTCACTTACCACTTGTCGAATTTTTTGTTGCTCTCCCTTAGGCAGGTGGTTCGAGGTTTAACGTCGGTGGTTTCTGTTTTTCTTCTCGAACTGGTTTCATCGTCAGCTTAAGGGACGCTTTCGTTAAAATCCAGCGTTGCTTCCTGCCTCTGAAAGAAAATCTATCCCTAAAATGACATGTGCTTGTAATTTTTTACGATAAAAAACATGATCTTTACCTTGCTTCGTCCTTGATACGAATGTAGATTGGTATTTTACCTATGCATTTGCATCTTTCCTCCCTGCGCAGCTAACACTGTCGTATTATCCGAATTATATATGCGGTATACTTACGGAAATACTTCCGAAAAAAAATCTTCTGCCACACAGGAACACTGCGCGCCTGTATCCAGGAGTGCGGTGGCTGGATGTTATTCACCAAAACTTCAATCTTTGGAAGAGTCAAGATTTTCACCATAACTGTATTTAACTTGAAGGAAGAGGGTTTTTTTCTTGGCCTTCGGATTTCGCACCCCCTCCCGTCAGCAGAAATCCGTTTTAGTTTAAATTTTGTTTCTTCATTTCCATGCCTTCTTTCTTTTTCCGCTGGCCTTCAGACTTTTTTTCTGGCTTACTATTGAACTGTCGACGTTCGCCGGTTGTTTTTGGATACTCGGGTTTCTTCCTTGCCCACTGATTCGACTTTGCTTCCGTAGCCGTGTTCTTGACTTTGCTGTGGTCTTATGGCGCAATCAAATTGGCTTCGTTGCTCATACTGGCGTCTTCTTTTCAATGTCCGCCGTTCTTCTACTTTCAAACTGGATTGCTAGCTCAAATAACTTTTCCAGTGTAGTCGGATTCCTTAATTCAATAAAGTCTTGTACTTGGGGAAGTAACCTCGACAAAATCACTTGGATTATCTCAGGATCCGGACGGTTTCCATACAAGAGTTTAAAGACGTGAATTTTTCTTAAAATAGAGCTTGAGAGATTTTCAATTCGTTTCTGGTATATGCTGAAGAGTTCCGTTTCTAATCTTGCACGATCTCTTACGACAGGGAAGGCTTTTACTAAGACAGTCTTAAAATTTTCGTAAGTATAGGTGGGACTTCCCGCTTGACCCCTGCCTATACATTTGAACCAATTAAGCACTTGGCCCCTCAAAACGCTGGTAGCTAAGGTGACTTTCTGGAACTCATGTACTGGATACAGCATGAAGTGGTCATCCAATTTTTCCAAAGAACTGGTTCACCGGTGAGTTTTCCATTAAATGCTTGCTGCTGGTTTCATCGATGCGCGCATGGTCTGTGGACGATGTAACCAAATCCTTCCAGGGACGTGCAGCTGGCATTTCTGGATTCTGAGCCGCTGCTGCAGGCACGTCACCAGGTTCTTCTTGAAACTCGGCCATGGTTATTCTTCTTCTTCGTTGGGCGCCACTATCAGGGCTTGTGTTTCCTCTTTATTTGCTTTGGAAACATTGAATGTCCTGACTAGGAACAGGGAGCTTACTCAAGCTATGTTCAGATAAATTGTGAAATAGACAATACACACAGGAAGGCTATACGAAACCCTTTATTTTTCTCTCTTTACAATGATTTTCGGAACTTCGGACTACAGAAACCAACCACTTGTGGTCTCAACGTAAGAATATAAAAATATTAACTAAAACTCTAACAACTAAACTAAACCCCCCCCCCCCCCCCCCCCCCCCCCCCCCCCCCCCCCCCCCCCCACCCCCCCCCCCCCCCCCCCCCCCCCCTAACTTTGGATTAATAAACAAGTGCCTAACTCCAAGGTTGGCCGTAAATTAACGAAAAGCCGTATGTAGTACAGAGAGCTGCTAAAACTATTATACGTTTAAAATTATCACGAGGATTTAACCTCTGGCCTTGAAGGCAACCAGCAAACGAGTAAAACTACTATGGCAAGCGGCCTGCTTCTGATAACTCCTTCCTCTCTCTTGCTTGGCAAAAAACCACAACTTAAGTACTTGGCGTTAGCAAGACAAATTTGCATAAATAAGTTAAAGCTTTTAATTCTGGCCGGAAGTAGAAAATAAGAAGTGACAGTAAAGATTTAAAATAAAATAAACGTTAGTAAAACTTAGGATCCTTACAATCTAAGAAGCCATTCTATCAGGCAGGTAGTCCTAGTGTAATTTGCCATAATCAAATAACCTAACTCTTCCAAATGTCTGAAAAATCTTTACATGCATTATTTTCAAGAATTTATATCTATTTTCCGTTGATTTTAAGCAAACTTGTGCACTGTGCAAAAGAGTGTAATTCAAACAAACCAGCTACGATGTGCATGTAAGTGGAAAAGGATGTCTGAAAAGTAGTGTACCAATAAATTTATGACAGATATTGGCCACATTAAGTTCAAAATTATAAAACAGCAGAATATATACTGCAAAACAGACTTGTCTAAAACAAAACGTTTGTAGAGATTCACGATCCATGTTTACAGTTAAGATAAGATGGTTCGGAGGTGGATGCAGGAAATGCTAAATAAATTCAATAATAAATTTATTCGCTTCTTAAATTAAAATATATTACAAATGTAGTGTATTTTTAGTTCAAAAAGGCTGTTAATTTCGAAATATGATTTTCCAACGTTTCATTTCCCATTCGAGTCTGTTGCCAGTCGGCAAAATATAACATGTTTATTTTTCAAATTGAACGTGTGTGTTAATGATCAAATTAAGTTATTTAAAAGCAATAGATGCAGTTATTAAGAATATCATTTTTTTTTACTTTTTAATGATAATTAATAATTATTTTTTAAATAAAGATGCATTTAAATCATGATAGAAGAATATTTTTATAGATATTATGATATATATATATATATATATATATTTTTACTTATTTTAAGTCTAGAGAAGAGAGTTATTTCCATTGTTCGTTTACGCGTCAAACTATTACGCTACCAGCGTATCAAGGACTCTAAAGAGACTACTATATTCTAAAGTATTCATTTATTTAATAAAACATCACTCAGGTATATAACATATAATTAATCTTCAATAAACCTAACTAACTGCAGAAACATATTTTCCTAATTCTATGAATTGCCCTGCTGCCACTCTCATGAAACCAAACTAACAACAATTGTTAGGGGCCAAAAAGTAAAAGTAATAAGTATTGTAAAATTATAAGTATAAAATTAAAGTAAAATAAATACAAAATACAAACTACATTGTTTTGAAGTCCAACACTCATGTTAGTCTAAATGTAAATTTTCATGTAATTTCTTATAAAATGTTACCCTATTTTACTTGAGAGCCGCCTCATTTGATAACCTGTGCTGATAGATCATATTAAACTTTAAGAGAACTCTTTTGGGTGACAGCCTACCAGCGGCCAAGCGGTGAAGTCGCTAAACACTGCTAGTTCGGTCCAAGGTTCGAATCCTGCGAACAGACTGGCTGCATGAGCGACTTCATGGTTTTCCCCATGTGTAACATGTATACGAGATAGTTTTCCTTAGAAAGTCCTCCTCGAAGGCATCCTTACCCTTCGGCAGAGAGCCCTCGAGTGCTTTGCTATAATCCAAGCCAAACCAATCCTTTTTGAGCGACCGTTAAAATAACTTTCAGAATTTTTTTTTTTTTTTTTTTTTTTTTTTTTTGTGTGTGTGTGTGTGTGTGTGTTAAGTTTATTTATTGGCTTGTACATATATGAAAACAAAATCGCTCTTAAATTTAGCTTTTCTAAATTATTTGAAAATATAAATATTGTTTATATTCCCAAACTGGGCATGGATTGCAGGCACTGGCAGATTATCGTAATCCTACTATAATTTCGAAGAGCAATATGTCTTGAACATATTTTAAAGTTTTCATTATTATTTTAGTCTGCATTTCCTACCAATATTAATGTCTGACGATTATTGCTGCCCGGTTAACAGAAAACTACCGAAATTTTGTATAAATAAATGACTTTGTGATTTGTTTGTGTTTAGGTGTTACATTATGTGATTTATTGTACTTTTCTTCCCGGCAGATAATTCTGCGTTCCATGCATAAGTACAGGGTACGCATCCATGTTGTTCAATGCAGTGACATTACACAGCTTTATTATTCAAATTTTCATACGTTTGACTTTCCCCAGACTACCTTCATTGCAGTTACAAGTTATCAAAATGAAAAGGTAAGTGCTTAATGTAAACTGAGATAATATGAAGTTCTTATGTGAAAGGTTTGAATCCTGAGATAATATAATAAATTTGGATTTATTATTTTTAAAAACATTTTAAAAGCATGATATGAACATTAATACAATCAGGATTGGTTAAGACTTTTAAAGGCCCTAAGCACTTCAAAGATTTTATTGGCCCCACAAACCATTTATGCCAGTTTTGTTTCTCTTTCGGTCTTGATTTAGCTGCATCATTCTTTTCATGAGAAAATCGGCAAAGGGAAATTTTTGTGGTACCTCTTTTGTTGAGTCTTTATGTACTTTTTTGTGGTGTTTCTTTTCCTTCATGCCTTAAGCATGTGCTTAGTTTGCTTAATTATTAATCCAACTCTGATGCAATTCATTTCTATTTTAGGTGCATTCCAAACTTTCGTTTAATGTTTATTTTGTGTGAAAAATGTTTAACAGCACCTGAAAGACGAAAATTTGATTTATATAGTACCCCAAGAATCCACTTTATAAGGATAAATGACTTTTTGTAGCAACCATAGTCTGTTTGGGGATACAAGTTATTAGGAAAAAAATGGGAATAGCCTTTAGTTCTTAGTTTTTGAGCGTATATTATATTATTGAGATTCCTTGTGTTTTAACTACAAATTCTGGAGTTTCTTTTACAACGAAATCCCTATTAGAATGTTTCAAATTTCTACATCCTTTGTTAGAAAAGTTCCAGGACAGAGGTCGCAAAAAATAGAAAATTGCATTTACAAAGTAATGACCCTAGCTGCTATCAAAGTATTAAATATACTATCTATACACAATTGCCTTGGCTATCTACACACAACTGCCAACGTTTCTGTAGGTCTTGGAAGCAAGCAAGGAAATTTTCAACTGCGATGCTTGCAAGCTCATTTGTCACAGCCCGTTGGATGTCAGCAATAATCTTGATCAAGAATTTCTTTGTCTTACCACTTTCTGTCCGTCTGTTAGTAAGTGAGGGACGATTCTTGTATTAAGCTTCCACTTCGCGTAAAATCTTATGACACACATTACGATTTAAATTTAGTTCTTCTGATATCACGCACAGTTATACGATGGTCTTCTTGCAGTAACTGCTTACAAGCTCAAGGCATCAGTCGGTATCAGCTCTGGGATCGTCTTGCACACAGTTCAAATTCAGTTCTTCTGATATCATATGCAGAGTTACACGACAGCGTTCTTGCAATAACTGGCCTAATGCTACACGTTTGCACCGATATGTGCTATAGACAAGCTACCAGCTCTGGAATCGTCTTACACTGAATCTCTGCCTTCACGAAACCTTTTGTGCCACTCGAAAGCACGACTTTTTGGGAGTGCCTCGCCTACATATGCTTGCTTAATCATGTTCCACGTTTCACTAAGGGTTTTCCCGAGCTTAACGCAGAACTTAATGTTCACTCTTTGCTCACAATCAGCATCCATTGTGTTACTTTAACGAATGCGACAATAATCCGAACAGTGTGTTGCTTAGCAACAAACTGCCACACCCTGCCATCTAGTAAGTTTGCGTAGAAACATGGCCAAGGTCATGTCAAGTAAGAATACATACCAGGTAACATAAAAATAACATTTGTTTCTTTTTAGTACTGCAAATTCAGAAATAAAAAAAAATAAAAAAAATAAAAAATTGTCCTAGAACCTTTCTGACAAGGGATGTAGATTAATCGATTTAATCATGAGGTAAGGGACATAGACAAATATGTACACTTTATTTACATACACAGGCTACATAACCAATACATAGCTTTCAATAGTAGAAATTATTAAGTTCAACGCCTTCAAATTATAAGGTTTATCTTAATGCCTTTGTTACAGCATTTTCAATAAGCAGAATTATAAAGTGTTTCGAAGACAGGGTGGCACCTGGTGGACACTCCATTAAATTAATAAATCTGAGAACGTTATAATAATGGCAAAAACATCCAAATGCAGTGAATTTGGAGAAAAACTTGTTGTTTACCTTGTAAAGGGTATTTTAAAATTAACGCAAGATTTGAATTTGGCGCCATTTTTGCATTAAGTTGTTCGCAACCCTAAAAAAAAGAACAGTTTGAAAGCCGAGAATTTAAGGTTAGTGAAAAGGGAGCGTTATACGATACAACAACGTGTCTTCATTATTGAACAATATTTTAAAAATAATGAAAGTTTGGCGGCCGCAGTTCGAAAATTTTATATAACATATGGTAAAAATAGTGTTTTAACCTCGTCAACTGTTAAAAGATTAATTGAAAAATTCGTGGATACTGGATCAGTTGGAGACGCTAAACACACCGGTCGTTCAAAAACACGACGTTCAAATGTCAATATTGAAGCAGTGCGTCAGAGTGTTGGTGAAAAACCAAGAGCATCAATTCGACGTCGTGGATAAGAATTGCAAATTTCAAGAAGCTCTCTACAGCGTATACTCACAAAAGGTCTGTGTCTTCATGCTTACAAAATTCAATTAACACAACAACTGAAGCCTAATGACCATGAACAGCGAAGAAATTTCGTGGAAGGGATTATTAATCATCAAAAAGTGGATGTTGGTTTTTCGAGCAAAATAATCCTAAGCGATGAAGCACATTTTCACCTCGATGGCTTTGTTATCTCCAAAAACTGCTGTGTTTGGGGTTGAGAGAACCCACCTATGATTAGTGAAAAACAAATGCACCCATAACGTGTCACTGTTTGGTGCGGATTTTGGGCAGGACGCATCATTGGACCATACTTTTTTCAGAATAAGGCTGGTCAAGCAGCAACTGTTAATGGTGCTCGATATCGCGACATGATAACACAGTTTTTTCTGCCGAAATTGGATGATATTGATGTGGCCAATATGTGGTTTCAACAAGACGGTGCCACATGCCATACAGCCAATGAAACAATTCAATTACTGCATCAGGCATTCCTGGTCGTATAATCTCTCGTTTCGGTGATCAGAATTGGCCTCCTATATCATGTGACTTAACACCATTAGATTTCTTCTTATGGGGGTTATCGGAAGTCAAAGGTCTATGTCAACAATCCCACAACCACACGTGCATTACAAGACGAAATTAAACGCTGCATCAACGAAATTCAGCCACAATTACGCAGAAATGTCATGAAACATTTCGACGAAAGGGTGCGTATGTGCCAGCAAAGCCGTGGAGGCCATTCGCCCGATGTGTTATTCCATAAATAACCCTATTTTATGTACTTTATGATTCACTTAAAAAATAAATATCTAAAGACTAAAAACTCTCTTTTATATTGAATTCAAATCTTGCGTTAATTTTGGGACACCCTTTATATTTATGACAGATTATTTTTTGTGAAAAATCATTGTACTAAAAAAAATTCTTTTATTTGTCTGAAACTCTGAAAAATTATCATGTACTAATTAACCGACCTTTTTTTCCTAAAGCTTGCGGATTTGAAAATTGAAAAGAATCCTTATGCTAGAGCATTTAAAATAGGGTAAGTATTTACAATCGAATAATTTGATATAATGTATATACGAGATTTTTCAGAATGATTTCACCACTCAGTACACCTTTATCATTGATTCAAGGTTCCAGTTTAAAACTGAATATCAAGTAAAGACTTTTTAACTAGAATAATTTTAGTGTGCCTCATTTTGGCAAAAATAGGAAAAATTAAAATTTTTTTGATGCAACTCTAGAAAAGGCGATTCATATTAAAAGTTTTAAATTATTCTGTTAAAGATCATAAGGACAACCGGTTCCAGAAACTTTATTAAAGCAGCTTTCAATTATTCTGATGTGTTATTATGAAATGTCTTTATTAGAACAAAAGAGTGAATAATTTTTTCATTCGTGCCTTCCCTTCTTTTAGGAGCAAGAGGAGGTCAGAAAATGAATCGACGAAAGCAAATTCATCAGGTGAGATGCAGCTTTTGAAATCTGTGCACACACTGTTGATCATCAATATGTAAATTGTTTACAGCGTAGTAGATATGTGAACCTGCCTATACATAAGTAGAACTTTCTTCTTTGCGATGGACGGCTAACAGAATGATCCTGTTACATGAATTCACAAATCTAGTCATTTGGCTTTTAATTTAATAAACACCTTTATTTACAAAAACAACATATTTTATTACTATTTACAAAGAATTTAAAATGATGCAAAGAGATTGATTACAGATACGGTAAGCAGAGTTCATTTCTGCTTCCGTTCGTTATTGAGACTACTGTCTCTCTATATTTTAATTCCCCCTCATTTTCTTCTGCTGTTGCGATTCCGGAAAAGCACCATTTTTTTTTCTTTTATTTATAATTGATGATCCTTACAAGTCCCTCTACGAGAAGCACATTCTTTAGCTTAGAGACAATGCTTCCCAGAGTTCAGAGAGAGAGAGTTTGAAAAATACAATAACCCCCCCCCCGAAAAAAAAACAGCAACACAGCTTTTTTATGGTGGAAGAAGGAGATGAGATGGCCAGATATTCCATTACTCGCAATTTACAAATATGCATTTTCTTCTTAAGTATACAGTGTGATGAATCATCAGGTATCTGCAACATATTTTTATAAGGATGGTCATTAACAGTTATAGAAGGAAGATAAACTGTCAGGTTTGCCATTAAAAAGCAATACATGCGGAGTAAACATGTACTAAGCTATTAAAAACCTTATAACTGAAATTAATTTCCAGCTTCAAAATCTTGTATTCATAACAAGATTAACACCAGCTATGGCTGGTTCTGCTGTTAGTTTCATTACATCATGAAAGAATGATGCTGATTTTTCAAATTTTTAACTACCACTGCATTATTATCAGGTATTGTATACACAATTTTACATTATGAACATACGATGAAAGTTGTTGAACAGATTATAAATTCTATTCATACAAGATCACTTCAGAATAGATTGTTCAAAGAACTGACTGATGAACATTATTATTGATATTACATTCTTAAATTAAATAACTTAGTAAGGCAAAAGTCCTACAATGATTTTTGAGCTTCTTTCAGAGATACAACAGTTTTTAGAACCCAGAAATGAAACTTACTAAGAACTGCTGTTATTTGATCTAGCTTTTCTTACTAACATAATAACAGAAACAAATAAACTAAAACTTCAGGGAAAAAAAAAAAAAAAAAAAAAAAAAGACTGCTGTTAAGTTAATAAGTATAAATGCGTTTAAATTAAAATCACATTCGTTTTATTAAGAAATACAAGAAAACTGGAAAAATTAAATATTCTGAAAATCTTGTCGAACTTGAAATAGTTTCCAAATTACACTACCTAATTTTTATGAAATTCAATCCATTGTTTCATTCATTTCATATCCATTTGGTACTAATACATTTGAAATATCATAACCGATCGGAGTTATGTTAAATAAAAATTCTACTGTTCTAGAAATGAAAATAATTGATTTTCAGTCTAATTTACAATTAAAAACAAGAATATCGCAAACAGACTTTTGGATATTCATAGGTTAGAAAAGATATCCACTCTTAAAACTTTTCAAACGTTAAAATCCGGCTTTGGATTAACTTACATAACAAAGTGGTTTTTCAGCAACGAATTTGTAAAATCAAATTTAAGATGCAGAATAATAAACGAACATCCGAATGACTGCATCAATTTAGCCATAACATCATATCACCAGAGGCTCAATAAACTCACAGAAGGCATGCAGTGTCAGGTTTCATGTTAAAATGTGTTTTTCTTGCATTTAATTTGCATCTCATTGAATTTTTAATAAATAGTAACATAAAGAGTATATAATCACACCTTTTCTTTAACATACACCACACATTTATATTATTTATGTATTATATATGTTTATTATTGGAATATTAAAATATAGTATATATGTATTAAAAATAGAGTGTAATATTGTGGCTCAACACAATTTTTTAAATTCTAAATTGGCTCCGATCAAGTTGGGCACCACTGATCTAAAAGATATGTTTAAAAAAAATTATCGCAATTGAAATGGAATGACGGTGAAAGTGCTTAACAGATTGAAAAGTTCAAATTGGCGCGTGTACATTGCAGTTCTATATATCTATCGTTTTACTGGGCCCATTGATGAATTCAAATTGCGTTTTTCATGTTTCGAAAGCGCGACTTATTCATTATTTATAGCGTTGTTCTAATATAGGTATTTTGACACAAAATCGGACTTTTCGGAAATGACATGCCGATTTTTTTCTATATTTCGATTCTACGACTCAAGTTAAGCCAACCTGCCAAGTTTCGTAAAAATAGATTTTAAAAAATTATCTTTCAAAATTTTAGCTCCTCAATGTTAATTGAATTGGGTATATATTGTTGCGTTCGTTCTCTTTTACTTCTGACACAAGTTATGTTATTTCCTGACACCAGTTCGTACGGGGTTCGTGTGAATTTGGATGAATAACGACGACACTTGATGAAGTATCGAAACACACTTTAGTGGCCAGTATTGTCAGGACAGCTCCAAAATATGTTTACAGTCGTCGATGCACTACTATAAACACGCTGACACGATCAGCGACACAGGTTATCAGGCTATCACGGTGGAGACAGCTTCACGGCAAAGCACTAGAGTACAGCTCCCGACTCTGCTTGGTCGTTCTCGGAACTTCACGTACTCTCGAGATTCTCCACGCTACAACTCGCGATGCACTCGACGACACACAGAGCACACGGCTCCCGGCTCTTCGGTTCAGTCGTTCCCGGAGCTCAGCACGTTCTCTCGACGATGCACTAAGAGACTCCTTCGGTGAACTCAACGACCCACTCGGCACTCGCTGCCCGGCTGTCAACTTGTACCGACTCCGCAGGGATTGACTCGCTAGGCGAGACACCAACTCGATACTAACTAACTCGCCCTCCAGACGAGGCACTCTGACTCGCCTTCTCGATTAAACACACACTAACTGACTGCGGACCAGCAGGGTTTATATAGCTTTCGGCTTGTGTTCGAGAACATTCTGGGCTAAACCGGTAAGAATTCGTTCCAGAAGATTCTCCATCCGTCCATGGCATATCGCCAATTTTGGGATTTCTCGCCAAATGTGGCAACCCGGTCATCTTTTGCTATTTTATGGCAACCCTAAAATTGCTTTGCGGGGAAGCTATCTTACCGCGCCTGGACATTTCGTAACAATATTTATTAATTTCTATTTTTTTATTAAACTTATTTGATTTTTCATTTCACATTTCGAAATTTAGATTCATTACAAATAAAATTCGGCCAATTCATATAATTTATTTTTAAATCATTTTTATAAATTTTTGGGAAAATTTTTTGAATTATAACCTATAAATTTTTACCATCATCCTAAAGTAGATGTATTTCTAAGTACACCTAAAAAAATATTTTATTCAAAATTTCTGAAGATATACGTGAATTTATATATTGGCGCGTTTTGAAATTTAGCATATTTGTTGAACGCGATAAAACATCAAATGTGGTTTAGGCACTTTGTTAAAATTATTTGAACGTAGGAATGATGTGACTTTCTTGCACAATATAAACAGGGAAAGGAAAATAGTTAGCCATAAATTAAGATGTTCGCCAAGTGAATTATTGTTGGCAAAAACTGAAAAAAATGCGCCAAGTTAAATTTTTGAATTTCTCCGTAAATTTCGCATCAAACTTTACAAAATTTAATATTTAGGCATAACTTGAGTCGTAGAATCGAATTATGGAAAACAAATTGGCATGTCATTTCAGAAAAAGTCCAATTTTGTGTCAAAAATCCCTATGTTAGAATAATGCTATATATAAATCTAGTATATATACTAGACTTTCGAGACGTGAAAAACGCAATTTGGATTTCGTTAATCGGTCCAGCAGAACGAGAGATATAAACTGTTCCCTCACTTTTTTTTTCGCAGTGAGCCTTGCTATATAAAACAGCTTGGCTTAGGTTGTCCTATAACAGAAAATAACTATTTAATTTTTTTTTTAATTGAGGAGCATTATATTCAGGAAAATTGTAGAAATCAATTGAAAACACAAAATTATTTCTGCATGACACATTCATAAATATAAAATAGTTTTCTCCCATTTGTTTTGGAACATAACATGTAACTGATTATTAATTAAATCTGCTGGAGAGATATTTTAATGTCATAAATCTGATCAGACTTTCTATAACATTTATCACAAATCTCATGAAATGCTTTTTTTATATTGTTTCAGAAAATATTTCACCTTCGAATAAAGGAGTTGTGGCCATGACTTCTGGAAACACAGAGATGGAACCAGAATATCAAAATGCTTTTGCCAGTTTTCCTAGTCCAAGTAACTCAATTCCACTGGGTTATCCTAACTATCCATTTCATTCCATGCCTTGTGCATTTAACAGATATTCACCTTGTAATTATCTCCAACCTGCAAACAGGAGCTTCAATCCATGGTCATACCAAGCCTCAATTCATCCACAGCCTTTCCTTTCACACTGCAGCTGCCTCAATTGTTCTCCTCTGCGGTACAATAATGTATCATCAACAGCAAGCACACAACTAAGTTGCTGTGAATCTTGTTCAATTTGCAATAGTGCAGTGTCATCTACAGTAACTGAGAATAAAAAGACTCAATAATCCATAATAAAAAGTGCTAAAAGTTTCAGGTAGTTATTAAAAATTAGTAAACTGTTTGCCTTCTACCTTGTAGGCAATATAAAACTATTAGCAATGTTTATTCTTAGAAAGAAATTTCAAGTTATTATATATACTCTAGTCTGAGGCTTATGCATTTTAGATGTCAAAGTATGTTTCACTCAAATACTTTTATGAATAAAACATTTTATTTTAGTAAAAAAAACTGAAAAAGTATTCATTTATTCAAGATTGTTACACACATGAAAATGATTGCATGCATATTGGCATGTTGCAACCTAAATTTTTATAACTAAAAACAGTGTATCATAATGTATATTCAAATCAAAATGCTTTTGCCATAATGCTTTTGGACGGCGTTTTTGTATTTAGTTTCAGTGCCAGATGATGTTTTTTTTCTTTTGTAGCAAAATAAAAATACCATACAAAATTTTCAACAGCTATGGACTTTTTCTTCTGAGGATAAAAACAATTGGTACTTTAACAGGACACCAGTCCTAACTGTGCATAAAATGAGTTAATTACTTCAGAAATAGCTACATAATGACATTATTCCAAATACGAGGGATGGTTATTTGATTATGGTGAAGCACACAAGAGCTATCTGCCTAAGAAGAAGAGTGTTTTTGTGACGATTTTCTAGAGGGAACAGGTTCATAAATAGATAACTGAAAATCAATAATTAAGTTAATGACATACTTAGGTAATAAAATCGTGCATCTCATTTTAGCTGAAGCTTCAGATAAAATAAGTTTTGTTAAAAAAAAAAAAAAAAAGATTCGAGCCATGAATATACATTATTTCAAGGGATGTTAAAACAAAAATAAATTTTTTGCATCACACCAATGAAAAGAAGTAAAATAATTTGATAGAATGCAAAAAACATGGTAGAAAATTTTAATAGTAAGTCGTGGGTGCTAAAGCAAAGAATAATACTGTACTTGTAACTACAGTTTCCTGAACAGTTGCAGAATGTGCAAAGTATCTCGAATAAAGAGATTAACAATATCACAGCTATACAAGGAAAAGAAAGAATTAAATTTATATCCATTACGATAATGTGTTTAAATCAGTTTCAGCCAGTTTACCAAAGGTAGTGTTATGTGCTCATTATGGTAAGTTTTCTACATGCCGCATTTTTTTTTTTTTTTAATTTGAAGTTTGTTTTAAGAGTTCTTTTTAGTTACATCATTTATTTTACTGAATATTTTTTTAGCAAAATATTTGAACAAATTCTATGGAAGTTTTTTAATTATTTCTTCAGCATAATTGCCCTGATAATAATTATATAAATGATAAAATAATTCTGAAGACGTTAACTGATTAATAGCAGGTGAACAAACTAAGTATCTCTGACTTCATATTTTTAAAAGAATGGCTCAAAATTAGACCAAAATAATATCAGTAATTTTACCACTATTTGTTTATTTTATTAATTTATTGTTTAGCATTTTTTTAATTACTCATACACTGCTTGAGAAGCAAATGTCCAGAATTCGGGAAAAAAATATGCACACAGTATTTATATTTTTAGTTGTTTATAATTTCCAATAAGGTTTTCAGAAATTTAAATTTAAATTTAGGCTCTAAATTTAAATAAATATTTAAATTTAGGCTCAATAATAATGCAGAATCTGAATTTACAAAGTGAGAGCGTTATAAAAATATGCAAATTACAGAATCATAACAGGAGTATTGTTTTAAACTTATGGGAAATACTTTCTGCTGCTTTGCATTGGTCTTCTGATCATGGCATCACTGACCAGTCGGCCGTTCATGCTCAGGCCTTATTCTTTGAGCCAGTGTTGGCTAGTGGCACTGTCTCCTTCAAATAAAACTTGTCACTGATCGCAAGTAAAAATCAAAAACTGTAATCTTATATGGCTGGACTGGAACTAATACAGTAAGAGGATTTAAACTAAGATTCATTATTATATAGATAATTAATAAATATATAAATTTGTAATATTTAAATCTGCAATATTTTAGAAATCCAAGCTTTGCTCTTAATTTTAAAATTTGACATCGTTTTAATTTTATACCTGAATTAAATCAAAATTTATACTTTTATCTGTTTGAAAATCTTACAGCATTTTCTTAGGTTATTTGTGATATGGTCCAAGCAGTCTTCTCCTGTCCGCGAAAATTGCCTCCCAGCGGCCGTCTGTTTTTTGTAGCGTGTAATGTTGTTTTCTCTGTACATCATAACTTTCCATACATGACTTTCGTAGTGGTTGAATGTCAATGAATATTAAGTAAAATTATAGGGAAATAAAGCATAATGGAAAAATAATAATATCTCTGTTTATTTCTAACAGCAGGATAATTTGATAACATCTGATCCAGGCGGTCCACTCCTACCATTTTGTTGTTGTAATCTTTTACAATTATTGATTTTTTTACAGTTCTTTTCCGTGTTCCAACATCAATCATCAAGTTATTATGGACTGTTCTCATCAAACGTATATCCTTCTTGTCTTTCCAATTCACCTCATTTTTTCTCTTTTTCTGCTGAGTAGACGTTGAAGCCATCTCTCACTGTCTTGTATCTTATGCAAAATGGCGCGAATATTCATAAAACCCGGGGAAATTCAATTAGAAATAGAATGCCTGATTAGTGCTACACTCTAGGAGGTATTAGAAACAAAATACAAACAAAAATAAAAACTCAAACAAGAAAACATTTAGAAAGCGTTTTTAAACGTTTAAAAGTTTTAAAATGTAGAAGGAACGCTTGAGGCGAGTTACGGCCGACCTGCGGAAGTTTCACTTGAACGCACTAGACGCGTTACGGATGACGAAAAGGTTAATACAACTCTGGGGGGTTCAATCGGCAAAGCTAAGAGCTCATCTGCCATCATGCCGTCTGCCTGCCATCATCATCATTTGGAAGAGGTGTTACCTGGAGAAACTACAAAACGGCAGCCAGCCACATTTGGGTATTCAGTGGTTTTTGACTTGTCGACCATTGGTGCACCCCATTTTATTTAGGAAGGAGACAGGTTAAATCTCTAAATTACTAGTCAATTTTTAAATATTTAAAGTATATTTTCAGGTACCAAAACCAGATTTTTAAGTTTTTTTAACACATTACTTTGTAATCTAAGCTAAAGATGAGACGATAATTTCGCTGCATTCTGAGAAGATTAAACAGGAGTCAGACTAATGGCATTTTTATCTTACAAAGTGAGGTGATAAAACAATTCTGCAATTTTAAACATTTTGCTGAGCAGATGATTTGCAATCTTAAAGAGATGACTTCAGTCAGAAACTTATTCCAAACCTGTTGTATTGCTCATATCTTCCCACCAGTCAATTACCACTTCGTACAGCTGCTTCTGCCTAAAAACAAGTTTATGTTGTCAGTCAACCTACATGTTCTCCAGATTTATCTCCATACAATTATATTCACTTTCCCAAAATTAAAAGTTGCCCTTCAAAGGAAAGTTTTTTTGTAACATAAAAGGAGTACGATATATACTCTAACAGCCGTGCCAAAGACAGACTTATAAGTACCTTCTTTTTAATTACATGTCACATTTGCATATACACAGAGAGTTGCATCTACAATGTTTCTATTTCTTTTAAAATACTTTTGATTACTTGAACTTCAGCAAGTCAAAATTTTCAATGGAATAGTTTTTAGAACTAGGAATTAGACGGTAAACATTTAACAAAATAAACTAAGCTTTGAAAGTTTGACAGTTTTTGTAATAAAAAGATACAATAAAAAAATTAACTATATTAAATTAATAATAATTAATTGAAGAATAAATTAAAGTAATGGAACAAATTTTATTTTGGGCTCCAGATGAATTAAAAATCCTATACGTATACAAAAAAAAAAAAAAAAAAAAAAGAGTCAATCAAAATAAAATTGTCTGCACCCTAAAAACTAAAGAATTTCTTACTTTAAAATACATTTTTTTTTTAACATCGCATTTTCCCCTTCAGTCAATAAAGATCTTTAAAGAAAGGATATGTTTTTGTTTTCTCTTTGGTTGGTGCCACGATGGGAAGCAGAGACTTTCTTTGCATTCTGATGCAACTGTTATTCAGTCTAACATCTGCGCCAGCAATCCACTCGGCAGATGCGATAATAAATGAAAGCAGTCCAAACAGGTTTTCACCATACTGGAAATACTATTTTGTAATGAAATTACTTTTCCCTCCTTTCCCCTTGGAGCATTCGCATATTTCAAGCTTTCTCTTTTCATTCATAGTATCATTTGGAATTCGTGGTAGTTAGCAAGTAGCGTGTTTGAAATGGGAAAATACAACGGCTTTTAAACTGAAAGTCGTAGAATTTGTGCAGGAAAATGAAAAAAGAGCAGTAGCAAGAGTATATAGATGGATGAAAAATGTGTAAAGCAAACAGAGTGGAGCAAACAAGAGTTATCAAATTATCCTGCTGTTAGAAATAAACAGATATTATTATTTTTCCATTGTGCTTTATTTCCCTATAATTTTACTTTAATATTCATTGACATTCATCCACTACGAAAGTCATGTATGGAAAGTTTTGATGTACAGAGAAAACAACATTACACGCTACAAAAAACAGACGGCCGCTGGTAGGCAATTTTCACATTTTTCAGGGACATTTCATGGAGCAACAGAGTGATCAACTGGCAGCAACAAACATAACAAGACGTGCGTTTCATGGTTCGAAATGTAAATTTCCGAACTTGAGAAAAAAAGTAGTTGCGTATGTTCATGATATGTGTACTGAAGGGCACGCAGTAACACGGGAAATGTGCCAAATAAGAGCGCTTGCTGCGGTTCGAGAAGAAGACATTTCTACGTTGCAGTTCAAGGCGAGTGAAGGCTGGTTGCGGCAAATGATGAAACAAAATGGATTTTCGTACAGTTCGTCAAAACAGACTTTTTAGAAAAATAATGTAGGCAAGATATTAAAAGAACCAACGCTTATTTAATTTGTGTAAAAGTAAATATTAAAATTGCAAGTGTTGGTCAATTTG